ACAGGAAACTGTCCTTAGTCTTTCTGTTCTAGCCCCTCAGACTTTACATGTTGGATCAAAGTCCTGCCCTGATGACATTCTCATGCCATTATCCATCCACGGTCACAGCGCCACCTTCTGGAGACATGAAAGGACACGTTCTACAATTTTATTTGCCTTTATTAGCCGGGTGACAGTATTAACTTCAAACGTGGTTCGGGTTACCGTTAGGTGAACTACAGGACGTGGTGAATAAAAGTTATCAAAACGCTTCGCAGATGAGGCCCGGTTTGGAAATGGCGGCCCGTGCAATTTCGATCAATGGCCATTTTGTCCATTTTCGGGGTGTTTCTGGCAGTTATCAGAGTCCTGTCGGATGGCCGCTCAGCTACAAGATTCGGTGGGCATGTGTAGCAGGTCAGGATGCACAAAAAAGTAAATCAGCCCCAAGTCCTAAACCCAACAGGAAGTCCGCCATTTTGAAAAAACACGGGCGAGGACCCGTCAAATGCCGCTTGCGGCTTTAATTCAAGTTGGGCTTTTTATTTCATATAAACGAGGAGGACTCAAATAGACACTAGTTTATTTCAAAGTAACCTTCAACCCAGCGTCTTTTTTTTTTTGGCGGTCAAAATGTTTTAGTTGCATGCAGAAATAAAATTTTGTTTTCTCAGTAGCAGTTCACTGATTTCATAAATGCAACACACTATAGTTTTTTTATACATAGCATAAAGGTAAAAAACCATATATGCAGTGTTATCTTCATTTTAGATGTCAAAAGGGTTTTGTGGCTCCTGGTGTTGTCTTTTTTTGTGGGAAACGGGTCCAAATGGCTCTTTGAGTGTTTAAGGTTGCTGACCCCTGGTCTAGTGCATGGTTTTGTTGTTGTAATAATGGTCATGTCATCCATGTAGGCTCTAATAGGCGGAAGACGCAGGCCGCTGTTGGTCTTCTCGCCTCCCACTACCAAGATACCCGCATGATCAGCTCCATTGCCAGCTCGAATACCAGAGGGGAAATTGTGCAGCCTGCCATGATGCCTATCTCCAGATGCTGCCAGGTTGGGGTGTTGTTCTCAGATGTTACACAGAACTGGAGATCCTGAAAGTAGCTCTTGACCAAATCTGTAATGTGGTTTGGTACGCTGAAGTAGTTGAAGGCCATCCACAAGATCTTGTGAGGGCCTGAGCCGAAGGCATTGGCTAGGTCTAAGAAAACCATGTGTAGGTCTCTCCGTTACTTTTTGGCAGTTTGTATCTGGTGCCAGATGATATTGGCATGCTCCAGACATTCTGAGAAACCCTAGATTCCAGCCTTCTGCACTGATGTATCAAAAAAGTTGTTTCTTTGCAAGAAAGCAGAGAGCCTTTGGGCCAGGACACTGAAGAAGATCTTACCCTCTACATTCAGCAGGCTGATCTGGCGAAACTGGCTGATGGATGACGAGTCCTTCTCTTTGGGGATTAGGATACCTCCTGCTCTTCTCCATGCTTTCGGTATCACTCCCTTCTGCCAAGCCACTTTCATCAACTTCCAGAGGTGTTTAAGGACTCTAGGGGTATTCTCATAGAGCCTATATGTGATTCCATTGGGCCCAGGTGCTGATGCTGATCTCACCTGCTTCACGGTCTTCTCCACCTCGCTCCATATGGGGGGGCCTTGTGTCCATTTGTTGTTCAGATGCATGAATTGGTGGTGTGTCGTTGGGGATGCTGACTGGCTCATGCCTCCAATCATCAGAATAGGTCTTCCTCAGGTGCTCTTCCATATCTTTTATGGGGACTTTGAGGGTCCCACTCTTTTATCGGTCAAAGAGGCCTTTATCAAAGCTGTAGGGCTTGCTGCAGAAGAGGGTCCTTGTCCGATCTTTCCTCTTGCGTTGTCGTCTGAGGTGCTCTGATCTTCGCAGCTTGGTCAGTCACTGCTCTATTTCAGCCTGCAGATCGTCAAGTCCCACTCTTTCCATCTCTGTGGCCTTCCTCCCCTGTTTTCTCAGTTGTCTTCTTTCTTTCACCAACCTGTCAATATCCCGCTGCCTCCTGGACTTCAACTGGTTTATGGGGGCTTTCTGCTGCCTCTGTGTTTTGCCCTTTAATCCCAACCTCTGAGCACCATAGCTGCAGATGATGGATCCCATTTTCCCCAGTTTTCTCTCAACAGGACCCTTCTGTTCTAGTAGGACAACAAGGTCTAAATCAGTGGTCTCCCACTCTCTCTTATGGCTGGATTTGGGCCACAGGATCTGCGGTTTCCTTCCTTCCATCTTCCTTTCTGTTGCTGGCAGTGGCTGGCTGGGCGCTGGGCTGGAGACTGGTGTTGGCTGTGGCTGCCTGGGCTCTGGGCTGGAGACTGCTGCTAGGTATTGCAGGCTTGACTCTGGGTTGGGGAATGGTGTTGGCTGTGGATGGCTGGACTCTGGGCTGGTGACTGCTGCTGGCTGTTCCTGGCTGGGCTCCCAACTGGAGACTGCTGGAGGGTCTATGCAATGCTGAGCTTCAGCTGAGGTGCTGATACCCTGAGGACTGTGGGGGTTCTCCTGCCTCCGGGCTTCACTCGACTGATTTGGCCAACTTCTTAAGAAGTATTGGTCAATGCGAGACCCCTTGCTGAGCTTGCTAAGGCATTTCTTTAGGCCTTGGTGGATTCTAAGGCCCCTCGTTATTTTTAGTTTTGACCAGCCACAGATGCATTTCTGCAGCTCTTGTCCTGCCAGTGTTGATGGTCCATCCATTGTAGTGCTGGTTGGTCTTTTCATTGTCAGTTCCGTACCATGATAATAATAATAATAATTTATCAGATTTATATAGCGCTTTTCTGGACACTCAAAGACGCTTTACACTGTCAATTATTCATTCACACACATTCATTGTGGTGGTGGTAAGCTACAATTGTAGCCACAGCTGCCCTGGGGCAGACTGACAGAGGCGTGGCTGCCATTCTGCGCCTACGGCCCCTCCGACCACCACCTCAAACAATCCATTCATACGCATTTACACCAGGCAAGGTGGGTGAAGTGTCTGGCCTAAGGACACAACGACCATGAAACAGGTTACAGGGCGGAATCGAACCGCCGACCTTCCGATCATTGACCGACTCGCTCTACCACCTGAGCCACAGCCGCCCCGTCTGTCATCGTAAGATCCGTCCATGATGGGTCATCTTCCGCCCCCACTCTCGCAGACCCTGGGGTATTTCTTCCTTTGAGGTTTTTGTAGCAATGGTGAGTGGATCCAGAAATGCTAACCAGCGCTGGATCCTGCTGGTGTGGGTCACTAACCCACACAAGCCCCGTCTGAGTCTATTCCCTCTTGTCAGCAGTCTTTCCTGGCTGTCATCTGGTCTTTCCCTGATTGTCAGCTGCTCTTTCACAGCGGTCACTGGATCACTCCAGACTTCAAGGTTCGTTGAAAGGACTAGATGTTACAATCCCTAGTGTTTGCACCACTTTTGATTAGGAGTTCTGGACGGATGGCTGCTATAAGGCTTTACCAGCGGGACACACCATCAGTTGTATACTTGCCCCAAAGCCAGTTGCCAGCTGCTATACAGAGTTACAGAGGCATAAAAAAAAAATCTTAATATATGTGATGCATGTTTGCAAATGTATGTCTCTAAGCATGTTTTTGCTGTGCAACCTGTAAAAGTTTTGCAATAGAATAAAAAAAGTCAGTGAAGACACAAAATGGTGATAATCTATAGATATCTGATTAAATTCATAGGGGTTTTGATATGTCACCAAGGACTACAACTACAAGTACAAAAAAATGAAAAGTATTTATTGGCATTTCCATTTAGCTGTTTCCAGTAAGGCATTATACATGCTGCCCTCTTGTCATAACTTCTTGATTTATAGGTACATATGAATAGAACACAGCCATTGTACTTCAAACAGCTGCTGTGAAAAGGTCTGTTGGTATACAAAAAACCTGAATAAGGTCAACCACATTTTTTGAATACATACATTGCCAGTAAGTCACAAGAAGGTAAGCTAAAAATGCTGATTATACAACAGCCCGTCACTGGGCCTTCATGTACAAATGAATGGTAACATTAGCCAGCAGCATGCAAACGTTTATATTGTATGCTAATGTTTGCAGGTTAGTACAGTGTTAGCCTTCAGCTCAAAGGAATGAAAAGAACATGCCATAAGAAGCACAGACCAGTTCAAGCTGTATTTTTGCTTTTGGTGATGGATAAAAAATGTATTATCATTAGTGTTCATACTGTTTGTAGTATTATTGACATATATACATGGAACTTTTTGGGGGGTTTTGGTTCCTTCCTACCGTTGCCAATCACTTCCTCAGAGGGAGTCCAAAGGCTACTTTGGATTGTTGGGTTCTCTGTTTACATTCGTAATGTCTATACCTGACTATGTTAAGCGCTATGGATGATAAATGTTGTAAACTGCACTATACAAATAAAATAAAATTGAAACTGAATTGAGTTAAAATTTCCCTGAGAAAATTGCAGTCTTGTAGAATGTTTTGAAAATTTGATGTTTCTATTTTCCCAGATTTTTAGAGGAAAAATAAGCAGGTTCATGTGCATATAAAATATTTTCATTTTGTCAGCTTCATGCCAGTTGTCGGGTCATTGGTTTGTAACAGAATGATGTAGCCTCAGGGTCTAAAAAATGAAGTCAATGTGGAAGTGCCTCAAACCTGCATTCTCCTCTGGTTGTAAAAGAAGCAGATTTTGTAGAAGTTTAGGAGAAAACAACCCAACCTCTCACTTAATCACTAACCTCAGTGAACATTTTCCCATTGAATTATAGACTCAGTCACTTGTTTAAAGAGCACTGTATATTTCAGGACGTATGTAGAATCCCCGAGTTCTCAGTGAGATCCACCATTGGCCCTTTACGGCTGGTTTCAAAAAACAAGATGGCAACAACTTGAACAGTAGTCTGCAAACTAAACCACAAACAGTGGCTCTGCCAGTGTGTAATGTAGAGTTGATGATTATAAATGATGTTCTCGATATTCATGGGTGATTGTTTGTGTGTTCTTCTCCTTCAGGTGGTCTTTAGTAGATTCTGTAGCCCCTGTGACATTAAGGAACTGTTCTGTACAGCCCTGGGTGTGCCAAGGTACAACACACACACACACATGCAGACACATGTTTATTTCTCTAACCCTGTGGAAAATGCCATTGACAAAATGCATTCTCAAGCCCCTTATCGTAGCTTTAACCATCATAACTGAAAACCTAATCCCGACCATTACCATAACCCTAACCTTAATGTAAACACCAAGTCATGCTTTCTGCATCTGTGTCCACAAGGGTATATCTGACATTCATTTCATCCACCCAACTCCACAAGTGTCTAGGAGGTTCTTGTAATTGAAGTAATCACTGCTGGGCTTTCAAGGAGCTTTGTGCATGCTTTGCACCTGTTTCTATATGTTTCAAGACATCCACCACCCGCCTTAAAATTCTGCAGTCTGATCTAACTGACTACCGCCCTGTGGCACTCACCTGCATTCTGATGAAATGCTTGGAGACACTGCTTCTCCAATGCTTCAAAGACAACATGACAGCCTGCCTGGACCCTCAGCAGTTTACATTGAGAACCAACAAATCCACAGAGGATGCCATCTCCACTCCCTTCCACTCTGTTTTCAGACACTGCCATCATCAAACAACAATGCAGATTTTTATCAGGAGGAACAACATCAACAAAATATCAACATCTAAAAAAATGGTAGGCAAAGACATATACCCCTGTCAACATGAGTGGAGTTGAACGGGGGCATCTGAATTGTTTTAGTTTCCTGAGAAGCAACATCACAGACAACCATCCTGGTAAGGAAAGCTCAGAAACAACCACACCGCTGACGGTTCCCATGCCAACTTCTGGTCTTTTGAGGAGGAGCAACATAAGCATCCTATCTGGAAATATCACAGTGAGACAAGGTGTCTCAATACAGAAGCTTCTGCTATGATACTAGTAGACTCTGTGTCTTTTGTTAGGCTGTGAGATTCGTCCTCCACACTTCACCTCTAAAATGGTTATAATTTTCTTGCTAAATTTTATTTATTTATTTTTTTAACAATTTGTCTTTTTGTCTGTTTGATGCATAAAGGGACTACATCTGCAATTTTCAATGTTTGTACAATAATTTAGTTGAGGTTTTAAGAGGACTGTAAAATGCTGCGAGAATTATGTTACTTTTTTTTTAGTCCAAATTGTTTTTGCACAACACACGTGAACTGCTTTATTGTACCTCTGTCACCCCAGCAAACAGGGACAGTAAAAGTAGAGGACCAAAAGGTGTCTCCCTTCAGTTGAAATTTGGCACTTGTAGTTCAGTCTACAGTCATTTACAGCCTGGTATGAAAAATGCTTTTGGTCTCTATAGCTAGCTACCTACTTACTGTACACGGATGACATTTTCTAAAGCTCACATAGTTAAATTGTATTAAGGCCTAAAAATGCATATGGTGTATTAATTAGAAAGGCGGATGCCGCCACACAGCAGCCTGTGGACCGGAGATATTTGCATTGCCCGCCTGAGCACCACTCGCGCTCCACTTTTTTGCCCAATTTTGGATTAGCTTCGAGGTAGGAGGAGTCAGATAATATCAAGATGCTTACAGCTAAGCTACACTGAGCTTCACAACTACTGTTTAGGAAACTTATGTGTGACGTCCTTTTTTGTATACAGTCAATATTTACTTCTATATGGGGTTTAAGAGTGTCAAACACATCCAGCAACACCTCTTCAATTTCCTGCTATGAGGTTAGGTTAGCTAACCTTGTTGTCATGCTATCTCTGATCAGTATAGCTTTTAACATACAGTACAGACCAAAAGTTTGGACACACCTTCTCATTCAAAGAGTTTTCTTTATTTTCATGACTATAAGCTCATCAAGAGAATGCAGAGTGTGTGCAAAGCAGTAATCACAGCAAAAGGTGGCTACTTTGAAGAAACTAGAATATAAGGCAAATTTTCAGTTGTTTTACACTTTTTTGTTAAGTACATATTTCCATTTCATCGTGTTAATTCATAGTTTTGATGCCTTCAGTGTGAATCTACAATGTCAATAGTCATGAAAAGAAAGGAAACTCATTGAATGAGAAGGTGTGTCCAAACTTTTGGTCTGTACTGTAAAACATAACAAAACACATAAAAACATACATGTGTTAGCTATGCAGGCATCCCAGGACCTAGGAAGGATTACTCAGTGAGTTCACCACCTTGGTCGACACAGAAATATCTCTACAACTATTGTAGGGATTATAGAAGAATTGCAGTTGTACAGACATTCACAGTCCACAGAGGATTCACATTCCAATAGTTGGCAGCTGGAAATGCCCTGTTGCCCTGTTGATTACAGGGCATTGTATCTATTTTAGTGAAATGTCTCAACAGCTATTGGATGGCTTGCCATGTTATTTGGTTCACTCAAATCAAATCAAGTCAAATCAAGTTTATTGTCATTTTGCTGTACATACAACAGTAGTGCAAACAAGATGAGAGAGCGTTTCTTCAGAAACTAACAGCATTTAAATAAAGAAGTGATTGCATAACTGGATCAGCAGTTCAGCATTCTGACAGCTTGTGGAATGAAGCTGTTGATCAGTCTGGAGGTTCTTCCTTTAATGCTCCGGAAATGTTTGCCCGATGGTTCAAACAGTTTATGGAAAGGGTGTGAGGAGTGTCCTGCTCCTGCAGCGGCTCTGGAAAAGTTCAGAGCGAGCTGTCTGTCTGTCTGCCCAGAACGTTGTCATCTCCTCCAGCTGTATGGCCGTCTGGGATATTGTCATGGAGCCATGTTTCTGTTAAAGCAAACATACAGCATCTATGCACGGCTTAATCCTCACTAGGGTCATGGGGGGCTGGAGTCTATTCCAGCGGACTCCGGTAGAAGGCAGGTTCACCTGGACAGGTAACCAGTCTATCACAGGGCTACACTTAGAGACAGACAACCAAGCACACTCACATTCACACCTACGGACAATTTATAATCACCAATTAACCTCAACATGTTTCTGGACTATGGGAGGAAGCCGAAGAACCCGGAGAGAACCCATGCTGCACGGGGAGAACATGGAGACTCCATGCAGAAAGATCGTGGGTGCCCTCACCAGGACGCGAACCAGCAGCCTTCTAGCTGTGAGCCACAGTGCTAGCCACCGAGCCACCTTGCAGACCTCTATGGAAACCACTCTTTGATAATTGATAATTTTTTAGTGATCCCAGACCTTTCCCCAAGAAGCATAATTGGCTCACATTTTTAATGTGTCCAATTCTTTGCTTTATGTTCAGCAAACCTGCAAAACTAATGATATTTCCATCAACCTCCTTCACAGTAAGCTGTACTTGCCAAATGTTGGCTTAGGCAAAGATGCTCAGTAAACATGGTTAATATCATGACGATGAAATCAGAACCAGTTGAAGGATACATTTTTTTGTGTGCCCAGACACCATTCTTATCCAGTGATGGTGTCAAGCTCACATGTGGATTTATGTTTTGCTCTGATGTAATCTTGGAACTGGACCCTTTGGTTCTGCTAAGTCTCTCTCCACCCCTTTTACACATTAGCTGTGCTTGTCACAAAAACACCATCTCATGTGTTGCAGTTTATTATTAAAATACATTTTGACATTTTGATTCTTCTGAATTATTGTATGTCGGGACATTACTTTGTACTCCCCTCACATTCATTTTACCTTTCAGGTGACTTCCAGTAAAACTTTAACTTGTACTTTTGTTTTCATGCAGGAGCACTAATCTCTCCCTGCTGGATTCTTCCGGAGCCATGGTGTCCATTGACCCCACCATGCCACACAACACTGAGAGGTATTGGAAAACCGACATTCCACTGATGTTTTCATAAAATAAATGATTGTTTGACAGAGCATTTGTTTAATCAACCAGCTGGCAATTTGATTGAAAGACACATTCACTGATTGACTGTAAATCCCAGTGTGTCTCTTACTCCTTCCTCTTGGGCTGTTAACAGCCAACATGAGCTGACGTGAAATGTGATCTGTAGAAGAAGCTGAACAGTTGTAACTGAAATTGCAAGTAATCGGAGTACCAGCCCTGTTGGGTTAATGGGTGGTCAATTCTGAAACATACATACATACATCAATTCTAAAATATATTGATTAATCCCTCCAGCACTTGATGAATGTACTTTTTTTCAGTAGGTTTCCAGTTATGGAGGTCTACATTCTGTGTGTTGTGTTCTTCAGAATGCTCCTCTCTGATTACTTACTGTGAGGATGTGAACAGGTACGGGGGCATTAGTGTAGCAAAACTATTTGTCCATGCGTATGTAGAGTTGTCTGTCTGTATCTGTCTGTATCACAATGGACGATACTGTGAGCCTGAGCTCAGGACACAAAAACACTGATTTTCAGATGCTCTTTAGTTACAGATTCTCTCATGGCAGAAGTGTAGCAAAAGTCATGTGGAAAAAGACAGCCAACGGTGAAGTTGCTTGACTCGTAACTGGTGATTTGTTTGTATTTTCAGCATTTGTAATGGAATACGTAGATTTTTCAATTTCTAATACCTTCGTACGCATTGACAGCTCTTTGTACGTATTGACAACTCTTACTACATGTACAAATTTTAAAACAGATGAGCAGATTTTTTACACATTTGAATACCTAATTACAGAAAGACAAATTCCGGTTCGCATTGACAACTTCTTTTACACATTGACAAATCTCACTTCGGACGAACGGATTCAGATGCAGACAGACAACTCTCTATACGCATGGACAAATAGTTTTGCTACAATAATGCCCCCATAAACAGGACAGTTTATTCCACTGTTTTATTGCTGCTTATGCAATGCTTTTCTAGGAATTCGTAATAAACAAATTTCTTTATAAAAAAAAGTGTGGCTCATGTAACTGCAGCTGTGCTTTCTACAGAGCGAATACTCATTTCCTGCTGGTGCAGTGGCATTTTGTAGATGACTATATTTAATCACTATAGAGTGTCACCTATGACAGATGCCACTGACAGCAGTGTCAAAAACAAATAGAAACATTTGTACCTTTGATTCTCCTGCATATTTTGTAGAAAATACAGAATATGCAAGTTCTGGGATTTAATTAAGAAGCATCCTAAACATTTACCACATGCAGAGCTTTAAGGAGTGCATCCTGTTACAGTTAAGCTGCTACTATACACACAGTGTTCTGACTATGGTCACCACTTGTGTAAGTCTGTGTGTGTTTGCTATCTTATCTAAGGGTAGTAGCTAAATGTTCTGTTTGAGAAACATCAACTGAGTGTTGGTTTTCTTCCTTCTAGCCGTAGTGTGTGTGTGGGTGTGTTGTATTTGTGTGTCAGCATATGTGTCTGCCTTCATGCTTGAGTAAATAGGTGAGAGGGACAGTACAGTGTGTACACATAAAAGGCAATGGAAAATTTCTTTCAGTTTTACATCACATCTGCTGTCCAAACTAACCATGTGGTGTCCTTTGTGCCGAAGGTCACCGTATCGAGTGGTACCTATAACTAGTGGACAACTTGCTGGTGAGTTTTGGTGATGACACACACTCTTACACATGATCACACGAGAATAGGGTCATTGGATGACATAAAATATTAGAATGAAGTTTATGTGAGTATGTAAAAAATAGCGACAGAAGGGTAAATGTTATAATGTTTAATAGAGACACAGTTACTGTGTTGAACTGCCATGAGTCTGCTACTCTTCCTGGGGAACATTTAAACTGATGATGACGATGATTTGATTGGGTCCACTTTGAGTGATATTTTTCTTAAAATGCAATCCCTGTTTTGAAAAGAAAGAATCTTCATTCTTTTGCTATTGAGCAAGGCATTTCAAGCGCCAGCTGCTGCAGTGTAAAACACCTGTCTTGTATCACTTGGTGATGAACAAACATTCATTTCATGACTGAAAATACTCACAATACAACAACCTTGGAAGTGTCAGAACTACCACAAAAAACATCTAACCAAAAAGTTTAATCAGTCAACCAAGAGTCTGTTCTACAATGTTTAACAGACTATTCCCTTTTTAACTCTGTCTACTACATATGTAATAAATCAGCCAACATTTTTGGAAAACATCATACACGTACACCAATAGGCCACAACATTAAGCCATAGACAGATGAAGTTAATGCAATGTTTCTCTGGAAACCTTGGATCTTGGCATTCATGTAGATGTTGCTGTCAGACGTACAGACATACCATCCTGTAAACCAACTGAGTTTGGCCATCTAGTCCACATGTGATGTGTGTCATGGGCAGGATCTCAAGGTGAACAGGGTGTCCACTTTGGGAACCTCACGATCAGGTCTTCGGATTTTGCAGTTGACGTAGTTCTGCTGGGGTAATCAGACTTTAAGTGTACACTGGAATGCACCCAACTATGAAGTGGCCTCTAAGTCTAAGGCCATGGTCCCCTGCTGGAAAACGGTCAAAATAAATTACAACTGTGCAAAAGCCCCATGATGACAGGAACTGTGACTTAAAGAGTGAATTAGGTTATAGAGACATGCATTTTGGTTAATAACTGAAAGTTTGGTAAAATTACATTCAATAGAGCAATATTTGGGTTTAGAGTTTGTGTTAGCAGGTTATTAGTCTTGTCAGTCATGTCTCCTCAGCTTTTTGCCTTCCCGTCTCAAGTCAGTATGAGTCTTCAGGCATTCAAGTCTCAAGTAAACTTAGTCCTATCGCAGGCTATTCCAAGTTGAGTCTCATTTTTGTGTCTTGATGTGAGTCTTCAGCTCTGACTTGGTTTTTTCCAAATCCTCAAGGCATGCATGCTCTTTAATGCGCTAAAGAATGATTGTATGCAGCTCTGAACACACTTAAATCTAGACTGCTATCAGACACACAGGCTGCAAAGCAGTTGGCCATACAGCAAGAAGCTACACAAAACTTGTTTTAAATGGTAAATGCTCTGCACTTATACAACACCTTTCTACCTTAGTGGTATTCAAAGCACTTGCAATGTGTTTCCCATTCACCAACTCACACACACATTCATGCAAGGTGCTGCCTGTCATTGGGAGCAACTTCGGGGTCAGTGTTTTTTATTTTTATTTTTTTATTTTTTTTTGGGGGGGGGGCATTGAACTGCCAACCTTGCAATTAGAGGACAACCGCTCCACCACCTGAGCCACAGCCGCTCCAGTAAGACAGTACACAAACAACACTTTGTAATGTCAGAACAGCACCACCACTGACATGATGCACACTAAACTGCAGCTTTAAGCATGACTTGTGTAGCAAGACCAAGTTGGTCAAACTACACCTTGGGCTTATAACATATGAGTATGTGCAGGGCAAAGACTGACTAATGAATGGGGATTGCTGTAACAGCAGAGCAGTGGAATGGAAAGAAATCCAACTGAACAAATTCCAATGAAATACCAAAACTGGCATGAAGTTGCGTCTAGAAATCTCACCTTCTAGATACTGAACAGGAAAGAACTGAACACTGTCACTAAAGCCAATCACTGCACTGTAACTACAATAAATAAAGTCTATTATCCATATAATGCATTTCTTTCTAGATACCTGGTTTCTTGTACAGTAGGATGGCATGGTATTATCTAAATTTATAATCTCAATTTAGAACTAAATCCTGAAGATGACAAAGTGCCATATTTTTCTCTCCCATGGGTGATGCTTACCTATTGTTGGCAAGTTTCCAGATTTGACACCACCTGACAGCATTTCATTAGGACCTGAGAATCTTACTGACAGAGGAGCAGCTAAAATTGGTTGAACTCTTGTTTGACCTGTACCTTGAGTTAGTCCCATGGTTCCAGAGATTGTTTATATGATCTGATTGCTCTCCCTCAATTTTCAAATCCTGTCTGCATGAAGCTCTTCTCTGCTAGCTCTTTACAAAGTTGTCAGACAGCAGTAGTGGTTGACATATTCTCAGGCTAGATACTGTGCTATCAGTGTATGATTTTGTAGTAAAATGAAAGAAAAATGACACTGTAATAGCTGATCATGTGATATGCGTTGCCTGAGAACCACTGATTGCACTCTTTGCCTGTCAGTGTTGCAACATTCCTGCTGAACTGGCTCAATCGGAAATTATTTAACGACACTTTCAGTCATCATTGACCTGTAACCTGCATGAAGGACTGAATGTGAGTGACACAATGAACAAACGTACTTATTTATTTGTTAGTTTATTGGCCTGTGGGTTGAACTTTGACCACAACGCTCGGACTTTAAGCAGAACTGCAAATCTTTGTACATGTGTCCAGTATATTCCCAGTGTGTGGTAAGCTAAATCAGAAGTGGCTTGTTAACACATCAAGCTGTCAGTAAGTTCCTATTCTCTTCAGTATCTGTGTGTCACTTATGGTAAGACCAAAGGGAAGGAGACACATTTTATTTACCCTTTCTCCTCTCGCTTTTCTGCCATCTGTTGCTTTAGCCATCTGACGCTCTGTTATAGGCTTACATAAACTTTGTGTGTATTTATGTCTGTCAGTGTGTGTTTGTGAAAGAAGCAAGTGTGAGCAATTGTGTTTATCTGGAATATTGATGTACAGTACTTCTAGCTACTGTTGTATTAATAATGAAACGTTCTGCCTGAGTGGATTCAAGCTGCTTACCATGGTCCCTTCTGTGTGTGTGTGTGTGTGTGTGTCTGTGTGTGTGTGTGTGTGCCAATAGTCATGCAGTCTGTTGACAGGGTATGTGAGTATGTAACACAGCTCCACGCTTGCTCTCTCTGCAGATAAAGAGGAACTCTTTCAGAATGTACTGACGCAAGTTGCAGAACAGTTTTCAAGGTAAGCAGATGGCTGACTGTATTCACACGGAAACAGATTTTCACTGAACTCACTGTTAACTTGTCATTCTGTAGCTGCTGTTGTACCCGCAGATAGTACATGTGCATGTGTTCTCAGTTTCATAAACAACTGTAGATTTCCTACTTTTTAATCACATTGTCTAATGTTAGCTTTTTTGTAGTGTACTGTCTAGACAGCAGAAAACCTTGTATCTTTAAAACTCATATGGACTTATTTTGACAACAGTGCTGCTTTTGTTTAATGCAAGTGTTTTATAGTCATAATATAGTGTCATAATCTCAAGAGTCTGGAGAACTGCCTTGACTCTTCCAGGAGCATGCAATCCTTCATTTTAAGAGTTTAGGGCTTTCATTCGGAGGCTGCAGTATGTTAATATTTGTGTACTTCGCAGTGGTCCTGGGTCTGTTTAACAGTATATTATTATCTGTCGTTTGGCTTTGTCTTTGCACTTTTTACTCATTGTTCCCACTGACTCCCGACATGATTTCTCTCAGCTCTCTCATTGCTTTTTGTCCAATCATTCATAATGTGCAGGGTGTATTACAGGGTCACTCTAGTACTGAGACTCTCAAGGGCAAAAATACACACACTCCTGTGTACTGCTGTTAGTGTGTATTTATTAAATTATTTATTGCATTTTAATTTAGTTTTGCAGTAGTTTTATTTTTTAAATAATTAACACTGAATATGTCATTTCAATTGCTTATTTACATAAGAATGGAAAAAAAAAACTAAAACAGATTTATTATGATAGAGACTTAAAATCCTGAAGCCTTTAAATATTTCACATTTTTCTTTCAAAATTACCTGAAGCCTTTAGTTGATTATGAAAATTGTTGTTTGGCAACAGTAGGATTGGTGATAAAAACACAGCGAAGCCGAGCAGGACAGGGTGGCATGGGAAGGGTTAAATGTTTTGTTGCGTTTAAATAACACAGATGCAAAGTCCAGTTTCAAATGAAGCAGTTAATACATTAAATACCACCAACAGCTGTAAATATCAACAGCAGAAAAGTGCAAAGATAAAAATACATTTATTGTTATAGAAATAAAGACTCAGATGCAGATCCTGTCTTTTTCTTTGCTCATATCTCCTCTATCTTTCTCCCACCTGTGTCCATCTGTCCACAGGGCATTCAAGATCAATGAGCTGAAAACTGAGGTCACCAATCGTCTTGCCATGCTAGAGAAGAGAGTAGAGCGTAAGTCTGTTATCACTTTTCTGCAACTGCATCAATGCACATCATTCGTGGGTAAGCTCTGTAAGAAGAGACACGATTTCACTCAAAAAGAATTAGAGTGTTTGTTTCATCATCATCTTTACATCCTGGGAGAGGTTATTTCTTCCTGACCCTCAGTCAGCTTACTGCTAAGCCCCTGAGTATAATTGCTACATTCAAGGCGGAAGCTGTTAAACATTACCTGGCTGGCTGAAATGATGAATAAGGTCTTTAGTTTAAAGTGAAAATAACTGTGACTTACATACATATTGCATATGCCCAGAAATGAATGCATGGCACATTTGACAATAAGGTATTGAGGTAGTTTGACTTCAATTTGGCTTAGCAGTGGTATATTACACCACAAAGTGCTACCATAGTTTTATTCATTCTTCATGTACAACTAGTATACAAGGACTTGGCTTCTGTAGCAGTCATGTCACACTGGCCTCATGTGTGCATCGTATTGTTTTCCAATTACACTGAAAGTGAACACTGTATTGATTCAGAAAATCTAGAAAAATAGGTTAGAATCATCACAGTCATCATCACAGTCAATCAGCTGGTTGCAAGAAGCAAAGATACTGCAGTGCGTACTGTAAGCACATCACTGCAAGCTAAATGTGGAGTCAAAATGTATTTTCCTCTCATTTGACATGCTAAGTACAAAAAGTGACTGGCATCGTAGGTGGGGGGATGGGAGGATACTCAGCTTGGTCTGTGTGACACTGTTCCATTATCTACTGATTTGTCACAATTAAACTCTGGGTCAGTCAACAGCCGCTAGCACATAACATTTTGCTAATAATATAATGATTATCACATAAAAAGTACTAAATACACATGTGAAAAGTACAGTTGAGGCTGATGAGACTGTCATTAGTTGTACATATTTTTGGGTCATGAAAAGAAACCTGCTTGTGGTGTTGCAGGAAAGCTCAGAGGATTGCACATAGTAGCACTCATCCTCAAGAAACCATTAATATCTGTATAAAATGTCATGGCAGTCCATCCAGTAGATTGTATATTATGTATTGTAACATTTAATTCCATCAGCATCGTTATCCTAATTCCATGCATCTGTTAAAACTGTACTTCCCAAATGAGATTCAGTAGGTGTGTGTGTGTGTGTCTCATCTAGTTGGTGCTCTGCATATTGATTTCACAGGGATTACTGTAGCAAGGCATCTTAGGTCTTTTAAACTACAAAGAAAACACCAGTATTTAAGTGCTCTACAGTAGTGCTTAAACTGATTAGTGTACATTGATTAGCATACAGCACTATTGTGCTGTTGCATGCTCTCAGGGCACGTTGTTTGAATATGTGTTCCTTTACAGCTCATGAGGCTGTGGACCTCATGCTGTTATTAGAATTGACTGAATATAGGCCGCATTTTAGCAAGTGCAGAAAATAGTGTGTCGTCATCTTGACACAAACACAACAGATAGTGTGAGGTCGTACACCAATGCCCTTTCCTTCTCAGCTGACATTATAAGCTTTCAAGTTTTGCGCATTTTATAAAGTGTGAGCAAGAAGTTCGTCTCTCTCAGGCTGCCGGCCTTCTTTGTGCACTTCTTCAGTTTACATAGTTTTGTCTGTTTGTCTGATGGTATCTTAGCACTTCATGTAGATGTGTCAGTTCTCCCAACTTTAAAGCCCGCTGTAAAATGCAATCAATAAAGGTGTAGTGATAACCAGGCTTGCTCTGCTGCACCATCAGCATTCTTTTTTTTCTTTTATAATACAGGTCTTAGTGTTCTTAACAGGCTAGCTGCTGTAGTAATTACCTACAAGAACATTTAATCAGTGATAGTTTTGTAATCATTACATCCTTCTTAGCAAGGCTGAATAAAGATAAGGGTCGAGTTCAGTATGTGAGTGTTATATCGAGTTAGTGTTTTCTCAAAAATCAGTAGTCTAATTTGTGTAGCTTTTCCATGTTTGCACTGCAGGGCTCCTTCATCACTATTGTGGTTTTCATGCCTACCTTTAGTGCGTCAATGCTTTTGTTCTTCAGCTTTGAACTAAAAAATTACAACACTTTGTACACACTGTACACCCATTTAGTACATGTTTGCATTCCTTGTTAAATAAAGAAAAGAAACAGAAAAACATAGTAGGCAATTGCAGAATTTCATCAAAGAATAATTTCAAATATGTTAACCCCTTAAGCCATCTGTTTAAAAAAAAAAAAAAAAAGTCATCAGGGCAAGTCTCATCCACACCTGACACCTTGCCACATAGGAGCTTTTTGACTACCCACAACCTCTGCCATAGATCTAGGCGAGGCCTCTCCTGAACCTTCAGACTCTGCTTCATCCACAGAAGACTTTCTGGCAAGATTTAGGAGCTCCTCAAAGTGCTCCTTTCACCACCAGACCTCAGTTTGGATCAGCAGTCCCCATTTACTCTTACTGGGCTATCATGTGTGTCCAGCTGCCTTCCACATCCTTTTGATGCAGTCATCTAGGAAGAACCTTTTCCAGAACGCCACCCAGATTTCAAGAAGGTGGAGTACTCCGAACTGCTGTTCAGTGCATAAGCATAGACAACAGTCAGAGCCTTCTCCTTGGTGACATCTACGCTTGTTGCCCATAAAGTTGGAATAATTGTTGTTTTCAGACACATTCCTCCTTTTATTTCTATTTCTACACATCAGTAATCACTTTGACCTGGTGCAGTGATCACATGCTGAGTCCCAGTTACCAGGTGAAACCAGTTCTGACTTCAGGATGTGACTGAAGAGTGGGACGTCCTGGCCATTGACACCATCAACCAGCTGGTGGACAGTATGCCACCATGTCTGAACGCATTGATCCGTGTCAGGGGTGGCCAGACTCAATATTAGTGACTGAGACATTTAAGGAGTACTATTGGACATTTTTATGCATGAAATCTCATCAAATATGTGTTTCCTGTTATATGACCAAGGTTGAAAAATTCAAACAAAACCCTTTATCCTATTGTTCAATACTTCCAGTTTCGTTTAAGTCTGAAAACACAGTTTGCAAAAGTTAATTGTGGTTTAATTTTTACTGTGATATGTGTTGTATGTATATTGTGGAATCAATAAAGTTTTGAGAAGATATAAACTTTATCTATCAAGAATAAATCACATTGTCACAATCATTTCATGAGAAGAGGTAAAAAATATTTTATTCCAACTTTATGGGCAACAGTGTACTTGCAAAGAGGCAACCCTCTCGTTCTCCAGGGAGAACTCCAACACAGCGGCACCAAGCCGTGTGCTTGTCAGTACCATCACATCCGCAGCTCTGGAAAAGAGTTCAGCCTTCTTCTTGGGTTTGGTTCCCAAATCTTTGCAATGCATGCAGGTAAGCCCAGCTACATTTAGCTGGTATCACACCAGCTCTAATTCCTCCCCAACCTAAGTTGTGACATTCCCCATCCCTACAACCAGTCTACAATGCTGTGGCTCAGCACAGCCAGGCGCTCCAACCTGTCTACTGCTTGACTTCAATGCACCTGACCCCAGCATCTATTCCAGAGGGTGGAAGGCTCACTGGGAGGTGACACCATGCTACTTCTATAGGCTGTGCCTAGCCGAGTCCCAGACTTGGCCACCACATGCCTTGGTCTCCCTTTCCCTGTCAAGGTCTTAAAGCTGCTTTTTTGTCAGTCATAGAGGACCTTTAAATCCCTTTTT